GTACGTAACGTACGTAACGTACGTACGTACGTACACACACACACACACACACACACACACACACACACACACACACACACACACACACACACACACACACACACACACACACACACACACACACACACACACAGAGAGGCTTATGCACAAGCAAACACAATGCTAACCCTTTTTGTCTTTCTTGCTACTCTTATACAGTTATGACAGTTGGCTGTCCTCAAGTGATGTTGAAGGAGAGGTTGAAGAGCCACCACATTCAGAAAAGCCGTGGCGGGTTAGTACTTCAGCACACCTATAAAAACGTGATGCTGTACCACGGTAAATACTTAATTACACAACACAGTGTTCACTTTATTTACTGTATCATAAGTCTCAATTTTACTGAAATTTGGTTATATCATGATCTTCAGCTGAAACTCAAAGTCCTTTAGAAAAAAATCTTTTTTTTTCTCACTTTTTATAAAATATATATATCAATGTTACTACAGGGGTGACCGGTCTCGCACAGCACTGTATGATCTCTTGTGCGCATTAATATGAATTGTGTCTGGCGTGTGCGCTCCAGGTCCATGCTGGCTGGGTTCTGGACACGGATGTTTTCAACGAGTGGATGAACGAAGAAGACTATTGTGTGAATGAGAGGAATGTAGCTATCATTCTCCGCCGGCGTATTCACCTCAGAGACGAGCAGGTTTGTGTGATTTTGTTTCTGGTCAGCAGGGTTTTTTAAGGGAAAGGCAATTATCAATAATTCGATTTTCAGTTTCCTGGTTGAAAATGAAGGCAACAGCCAACCAGGAGACCTTCATTTGAATATGACTTAGAGTCTTGATGTATGATGTTACATCTTATGGTGCTTGTTGTCTCCTTTTTCTAAGTTTCTCACCACCCTCTGTTTCAGGACTCCAAACACACCCCTTCAAAAAAGAGAAGACGCTCCATCTCTCCTCCCTCTGAAGGCAGGAAGAAGGGAAAGAAAGGGTGAGGAACATTTGTTTTAACCCAACAGGAGGGGTATACTTTTGCCATTTCCAGGTGAAGTGTTGGCATTGATTCTTGTCTGTGTGTGCAGGCGAAGGCGTGGACCACAGGAGGAAGAGCCAGAAGAAGACTTGACCAAAGACATGGAGGACCCTACCCCTGTCCCTAACATGGAGGAAGTTATTTTACCCAAGAATGGTAAACCATTACAACACAGTGACTTACAAATGTGTCCCAAAAACGTAGAGCATTTTGTCTCTAAACCTTTTCCCCATGTTCTCATAGTCAACCTGAAGAAGGACAGTGAGAATATTCCTGTCAAAGGAGGGACCATGGCTGACCTGGGTAAGAAAAGCGTAATAGCTGATGTTAAGGGAGATATATATAAAGTAATGTTTTTTTTATCTAAAACACTTTATTCGCCTTGAGTTTTCACCCATTCTCATTTGTCTTTTTCAGATGAACTGGAGGAGGATTTCCCAGGAAGGGTAAAACATGATTTTATTTTTCACAATCAAGATGTTTGTGTAAATACATAAGGTCCGGGTATTCTGTAGCAATTATCAGTCTATTTTTAGGATGATGTAAATGTAATCTGTGTGTATGTGTGCGTCTAGGAAGATGAGGAGGGAAGAGGGGATACACATCGGCTTTCAGAAGGAGAAGACAACACCACAGAACAAACACATCACATCATAATACCGAGCTACACGTCTTGGTTCAATAACAACAGGTGATAAAATCCCCCTCAAACTAATACTCCAACTTAGCTTTCTTACTTCCAAACTTCATAAATTAACCCCAAACCACCTTTCCATCCATATATTCCAGCGTTCACTCGATAGAGAAACGTTCGTTGCCTGAATTCTTCCATGGAAAGAACAAGTCAAAATCACCAGAAATGTGAGTACTGCAGACATCCAGACTTTACCGCTTCGGTTCATCTGTTGATAAAGATTAGAAACTGAGATTATATCTCACTTTTTAAAACACGGATTTTCCTGTGCACTTCAGCTACCTGGCATACCGTAACTTCATGATCGACACATACCGGCTCAACCCCCAGGAATACCTCAGCTCAACGTCCTGCAGACGCATCCTCACTGGAGACGTCTGCTCTGTCATAAGGTATAACTGTGTGTGTGGGCGTTTCCATCCATGTATTGTCTGCTGCATCTGCTACATTAACTGTGGTATGTGGGTGTTCTGTAAAAGAAAAATGCAAAATAATTCAATCTGTTGCTAATAAAACATGTGGTACGCGGTGAACCTAATGCATCAGCTTTTATTTGTAATACATGACACATGCTGGAGTTGTCAGTGTGTTTATATTGTGTCATCGGTGTGGGCAGTTTTTAAAAGCGGCAAAATGGTTAATGAAAAAGTATGTTTTTTGTGTCCAGGGTTCATTCACTTTTGGAGCAGTGGGGTTTGATTAACTACCAGGTGGATGCAGAGAGCAAACCCCTGCCCATGGGACCCCCACCCACCCCTCATTTCAATGTATTGATTGACACACCGTCCGGGCTGGCCCCACTTCAACACAAACCCCTGCAGGTAGACACACACATGACAACAGCTCCGACGTGCAAATGTGAAAGAAACGCACATTTGAACTGAATGAAATGCGTCCTCATTAACTCTGGCTTTGCTCTCGCAGGTGTCAGCCTCGCAGAACATGTTGTTTTTCCAGGAAAAGAGCAGAGAGAAGCCTTTAGAATGCCAGAACTTTGGTCTGCGCTCCGACATCTACACCAAGAAAATCCCTAAGGTCTCAAACAGAAACAGCACAAACACTTTGTTCATTTGTTTTAAGAAATATGTATTTGACTATTCTCTCATTTCACTTATTTCTCTTATTAGGAATTTTAAAAGTGTTGGTTCGAATGATTCTAAAATGATTCCTATGACATGTGCTTCAGACTAAAGGAGTATCAGGAAGAGAATGGACGGAGCAAGAGACGCTCTTGCTGTTAGAGGTAAGACAACATTTCTTTGGGGTTTCTTTCAAAGATCTAACTCATGATGGTTTCCTTTTTTGCAAATGGAAATTGCTTTTTTTAATTTATTTTTATTAATTAGTAATTTACCCAAAGTGGTTGTTCTCAGTCTTACCTGTTCATCTATCCTTCTCTCTAAGGCCTTAGAGGTGTACAGAGATGACTGGAACAAAGTATCTGAGCATGTGGGCTCCAGAACGCAGGATGAGTGTATTCTCCACTTCCTCCGCCTGCCGATAGAAGACCCTTACTTAGAAGACTCCGCGGCTTCCCTCGGCCCACTGGCGTACCAGCCCGTGCCTTTCAGCCAATCAGAAAACCCCGTCATGAGCACCGTGGCCTTCCTGGCCTCTGTGGTGGACCCTCGGGTGGCATCATCTGCAGCTAAGGCCGCACTGGGTGAGCGGACTGATGGAGGAGTGTTAGTGTAGTGTGTAGGTCAGGGTATGGTTGTGAGATGGTTTACTGGATGTTTAGTATGTGTGTATTGATTCTCTCTTTTTGTCTTCAGAGGAGTTTTCCAAAGTGCACGAGGAGTCGCTGGATAAGATCTCTGAAGCGTCCAACCAGCCTGACAAAACAGGTAACACGTGCACTTATTCACACACACATGAAGCAGGGTTTCTGCTAGGATTTTTTCTTGCCGGTCAAATGTCCGCAAATAATTTATTTTACCGGACAAATTTGAAACTTACCGGTCATGTTTCAATAATAATAATTGGAATTGTGTAGCAGAGTTTCCGTTAGCAGGTAATTACCGGACTATGACCGGATATGCTGATGTTTTAAAACTCAGTTAATGGAGCTCTTTTTAATATTGCTTCTGACATGAAGATGTTTCTCTTTGCCGTCCACAATGCATATCTTATTCTGTCTTTCTCCGTTTTTCAGAATCAATGGAAGTAGAGAAAATTGAAACAAACTCCACCCCCCTTCAGGTGAAACAGCAATAAGAACTTAGAGTTTTATTGTGTCTGCTGGTGAGTTTAGTGGCTAAACTTGAGTGTGTGCGTGTGTGTGTAGATCTCCCAGGTTCCTTTAAGGGCAGATGGGCTCAAAGTGGAACCCAGTGTGGCCAATGTGACGGGAGAACTAGTCAAAAGCGAAAATGCTGAAAATATACTTGCAGAGGAGGGAGACGGAGGTATGTTAATATTTACAGTATACAAATTGACTGTGTGTGTGTGTGTGTGTGTGTGTGTTATTAAAGAAATCTCTCCTTGATCCAGTAAGGGTAGATGATGATGAGAGCTTTGATCAGGCAGACGTGGATGAGGGGAGGTTGTTGGAGCAGGATCTGGTGGATGGCAGCGTTGTCACGGCAGCAGCTGCTGCTCTTTCCTCCGCTGCCACAAAGGCCAAGGTAAAGCCCGCCCTTTCTGATTAAAACGGACCAATCACAGGGACGTGAAGAAATGGTTGTCATTTATAAAAAATAAAAAGCAGATCTGCAGCTGTGTCTAAGCAACTCGACATGCACCATCTTAGAGAGGATTTATTTTCATTTACGTGTGTAAAATTAAACAGACGAAATGTTGTTCCTTTCAGCCCCGGAAATTATAAAACAAATATATCTAAGACTTAGACCTGCAAATAGAATTGAGTATTTTTTATTTTGGATTTTCAGCATGTCTGACAGATAAGGGACAGGGATTATTTTAAATAATACAAATACATGATAAGTGATTAAAATTGGCTTTGATTCTAAATGTGTATTTTATTGTAACCCAGGGAGCCATATGAGTGAGATCAGTTATTGTCCCATCTCTTGCTGCGGAAGAGTCTCGTCATTTATTTTCTCTCCCACTCCTTACCACGCTCTGTCACACCCAATTTATTCTACCCTCCTCTCACCTCTTATCTTTTCCTTCCTTCCTCTGTGTTGTCCCTCTTATCTTCACCTCTGCTACTTTCTTCATTCCCTTCTTTCTAAACCATCACATGCACCCAGGTCCTTACTCATTTGTGGTGTCCATTTCCTTCCTTCCTGTTTTTAACTTTCTCCATGTTTGCCTCATTTGTTTGCAGCACCTGGCAGCAGTAGAAGAGAGGAAGATCAAGTCCCTGGTGGCTCTGCTGGTGGAGACCCAGATGAAGAAGCTGGAGATCAAGCTGAGACACTTTGAGGAGCTGGAGACCATCATGGACCGAGAGAAAGAGGCTGTGAGTGAACATCTGCTGCTCTCAGTTTTTTTGGAACATGTCCAGTAATCTGTGCGTATCATTCATACTTTTTGTCTTTGTGTATCTTACAGCTGGAGCAGCAGCGGCAGCAGCTCCTCTCTGAGAGACAGACTTTCCACACCGAGCAGCTCAAACAGGCAGAGATCAAGGTTCGCCAGCAGAGGGAGCAGCAGGCGCAGCCGGGATACACCGTGCAGCCAACAGGTGACCGCACACACCGACCAATAATCAAACACCCTCTAAGACAGGGGCGTCAAACTCATTCTAGTTCAGGGGCCACATACAGCCAAATTTGATCTCAAGTGCGCCGGACCAGTAAAATCATAGCATAACAACTCCTTCCTTTTTGTTTTAGTGCAACAACATGTACATTTGGAGAATGTTCACATTTAATGAACTATCTTTTTTAAAAACACTTTGAAAAATCTGAATAGTGCAATTTTAACAAGTTCATGCCTCAGTTTATCCTTTACACTTGCTCATCACAATGTACAGATTACAGTGTATCTACATAGACACAAAACACTTAGACACAGGTATCTGGAACTGAACAACATAGTATTTTACTTTATGATCAAAGCAACTTGTCAAGATCTGAAATTATTTTACATTAATTTCCACATCTATGTAGTAAACCTGACCAACTGAATTGACACACCACCATACAAACTTAAGTGGTAACTATTAAGGAAGAAGGTCAAGTTATCCCCCTGCCTTTATAAATGTATCAACTTGCAGTTAATGTCTTCTCTGCGATGTTTACACTTTGCAAAGTCATCCGTATGTTTGACACACCTGCTTTAAGATGAACCCTCTGAGAACGCAATGAAACGAGTCAAGTGTGTTTACTTCTTATCTGTTAAATCATTGTTGGTCCTATATCTGTGGTCCTCTCCATACTGCAGCTGTGCCTCCTGCTTCAGCTCAGTCCATGCCCAACAGGATGATTCCTGGTGGAGTAAACGCCCAGACAATGGCTCCTCGACATCCTGGAGCTCCCAATGGCATGTGTGAGTATTATGTACTGCTGCAATTAGCTTTAACGGGATGTTTTGTGTGTTGTTGTTTTTAGCATGTTCTGATTCTGTGTGTGTGATCTTCTTCTGTCACTGTCTCAGACCCGTCCTCTCAGCCTGATGGGATAGCACCAGCTCAGCCGGGCCCTCCAGCAGCCAGTCACAACTGAACAGACCAGAACAACAAAATGCACACATACCAGTCCTCCTACGTCCGAGAAAATTCAAGGAACACCGGCAGAAATGTTCAGTAACAATTAAGAAGTTGAATAACGTAACTATTCTGTACTAGTCACATGTTTATAGACACTCAAGCACATGGACGCAGCTAATGTGTAATTTGGTCAACGGCTCAGTCCGTCTTTTATCTGAATTATTTGTGCTCTGCCGTCAGAGTGGAGAAATCTGAAGATTTAACTCAACTCATTAAAGTTGTTTTACATGAAACCAAATGTATCTCTTGTTCTTGTCTAGCTTTTATTCAGTGTGTTGTCTGAGTGTGCACTGAGGAGCGATATGGGTTTTATATCTTTGTATTGAGGAACTGTTTCAAAGGCTTGTTTGAGGGTAGGGGGTAGTTTGTTGCTCACAGATGAAATAATATCGAAAGTCTAAACCATCCTTAGAAAAAAAGGTGGTTAAAGTTAGGTTGAAGCATTATGTCATAAAAAAGGACAAACATTTGAGTGTGTGCCCCCAGTAGTTGGATAACATAAAAATATCAACCTATCTTCCCTGTGTTATTTAGGTGTGTAGTTTTTGTGACAATACAACAAAAGATCCTTTCGGCCTGAGCCACTTTGACACTTTGGTTTGGTCTGATTGTGTCTATTATGAACACATCGACCTTAACCAACATTTATTTTCATCGTGTATTAATATTGCAAGAAGAGGAGATGCTATAGAAACTGCTCAGTGCCAGACCCATGTGGCATGTCAGAGCAAAGAGACAAGAACATCCTTTTATTGTGTTCCTGACGGCTGATTCCCGGTTCCCCGTCACGGATCAAAGGCCAAGTGTGAGTATTAAATTGCATTGAATCCACAACGTTCTATTTTGAGCAGCACGTTGGTGACATTCAGCGCAATCACTCCAATGACCATCTTTGTAAAAACCGAACGACGTGTACGAAATTTGAAGAGGAAATACAGAAATACATTTTTCTTATCGAACTTCATAACTTTCATATACAATTTATGACTTGACTAATTTGTTACAAACTAGATTCAATAAGTTATTGAGGAAACAATATGGGTGAAAACATGGTAAACACAGACTTAGTCTGTAAACTCTTTGGTCAGTGCAAAGAGATTATTAGTTATTGTCACAACTTCATGAAATTGAATTATGTGTTGCTTTCATAGCCGCTCCAAAAGATCACAAGATCAAACCTTAATTTCAGAGCAGAAACAGGCATTTTCCCGATTTATTCACTACAGCATAGCCATAGAGTAGCAGACATAATTATAGACAGGATTGCATTCTTCTGGACTTCCTGTTGGATTACATTCCTCCTCTTGAGTAAATGCTTTTGTTTGTTTCAGCAGTTGTTGCTTGGCTCCGGTGAGATGACATTTGTTTTGACGAATTCATTCCACTCACGGTAAGTTATCAGTATAAAAGCAATTGATGGGTATTTCTTGTACCCATTCATTTTAGAATTACAGTCTTAAATCTGCCTTAATCCAATAAATGATGATACGCAGTAAAACATTTTTTTTTTTTAAAGTTTACAGACAATAAAACGAAAGCCTTTTAGCTTTTCCACTAAAACAGTTTTGATTAAACAACTTGACTGAAGTCAAAAACGTTATGTAAAAAAACGACATTGAAACCATGATTTCCCCAAATATGTGACTACACAGAGAAGACTGACCACAGTGGCAATACAGTATATATGTATACTATGGGAATAGTAAGCTTTGGTACCTTTTTTTCTTTTTTTAACTATCTGTCACTTCTAAACACCATGCCAGAGAGCGCTCAATCAGATTGAGTCAGTTTTTAACAAGATAGTTCAAAGTGTTTCCTATACTAAAGAGAAGTAGTGTTTTGAACCTTCTGGATGGATGGTACTTTCCCAGGGCAGCACTAACTCAAGTTTGCATGTAACAATAGACCAAAGGGTGTGTTCAAAATGCAGTTATTGCAGCTATTTAGTCAGATAAAGATAGTCTGCCATCTTTGTTTTTATTGTCAAGCATCCATTTATATTTTCACAGGTAAATATAGAGGACTAAATTATCCTCTATGATCAGGTCCTTTTTGGCTTTTCTTTTCCCTAAAAAAAGAAAAGAAATGATAATGACCAATATTGTGATAGTCTTACATGTTTAGGCATTTCAATTAGAAAGTAGGTTATTATTTCATCAGACTTTACCAGAAATATTTTTATATCACTTACCACCATTTTGTATACGACAACTCCCACTACTACCAATGCCGCAACTCCTATTAGGGCAGGGGTGGAGGTTAAAGTCAAGCCTAATATTACAATTTTGATCCCTTTGATCCCAATGATGCAAGTAAGACTTTCCCTGAAAAGGAAGGAAAAACAGTCAGCATGTGTCTTCATGATTTGATTTATGCCATGACATTTGGTAGACATTTATGTTCCCCTCACGATGACAACTTTGGTAATGGTTTGACATTTTAGCAACATTTTAATTTTTACTTTAATGTAAGTCTGTGACCAAGAACCTGCAAAACTAATTACAATCTCATCAGTCTCAACTTTACTTTATGTTTTGCACTAATCAGCAAAGTTAGGATGCTAAAACACGAAACACTGTACATTTTAGCTGAGCTTTGCAAACCATTGTGTTCTTATAACACCTCATAGAGGAAGCATCCCCCCAGTAATGATGCTTAGAAATGAAGTCTTTATGACATTCAACCTCTACAAACAGACTTTAACACCTTTTTAGTTGAGAGTACAATTACTTACACGGTCAAAGTCATCCTGGAACCCTTATTTCTCTCTTCTCATAAGCTGGTCTTCTCTGGGAACAGTTTGTTCAGACTCAATGTGAAGCTGTGTGTGTGGTTTCAGCCCTACCTGTTTCCAGCCTTCTTATGTGGATTTCAGAGGAGGGTGGGGTTATAACTACTCTTAAGGCATGATTACGACATATTGATTAGGTCATTTCTGCCCTGTCCCAGTTTTGAACATTGGCGGTGGAAGTACTTGGATATTTTATTTAAAGTATCAATACAACAGGGCAGAAACACTTTATACAAGTAAATGTTTGACCTGTTGTTAGAGTTTACAGGTTCTTAACACACAGAAAGTAATTACACTTGTGGACTGATTAATCTTTGTATTTTAAGTTCAATTTCATAAAAAATGCTAAAGCTTACGGTATATAATTCATTTGCCAGGGTTGAGAAACACTGCCATGGTGGAAAACACTTCTAGACTTATGACTTTATTATTGGCCAAGATAAAAATGATAACCTCCAGAAAATGAAAATGGCCAATGTTCAAAGTATGTTTTTCATGATGCACACACTGTAAAACAATATAAAGTCACAATTTTGTCTTAAGAGTTGTACTTATGCAACAGCACCTAAAATGATATTGCTTGTTTGAAGTAAATATGTCAGCACTTTTCTTGTTGCCCTTTGTTTTGTTTGAATCTTGATGGTTTATTTATTACTTATTGTAAGTTGCTCTGGATAACAGCGCCAGCTAAAGGCTCTCTAATTTAATGTAACGTGTAAACACTGCTGCCTTATATTTGGAACAATTTATTTGCAAATCTCAAATTTTACTGGATACAAATTCTGAAAACAAACAAACACAAAAATGAATATTACTTTTTGAAACTTTATGTTTATTTTAATTGAGTACATACAGTGGAATGACAACCACTTAACACAAAGTGCTCAGCAACATTTGGTCTGCGCTCCGAAATCTATACCAAGTTCTCACACGGTATTATTTTTTATGCACTTATTTAACATTAATTTGTTGTTTGAAATTATAGGATTTTAAAATATATATTCCAAACATGTTGTTATTAAGTGTTTAAAATGAATTTATTAGAATTATTGTAAAATGATTCCTTTGATATCTGCCTCAGACTAAAGGAGTAAGTGTAGGAAGGAAATGGAGACGTCCATTTCGTAAGATGTTATTTTCTTTTTTTACATTTTTATTATATATCTTCATAGCTATCACATACAATTTATGAAATGACTATCATGTTACAATCTAGATTCAAAAAGTTATTGAGGAAAGAAAAAGGGTGTAAGGATGGCGAACACAGACTTATTGTGTAAGCTCTTTGGTCAGTGTGTAACCAAAGGAAGTGCAAAGAGATTGTTAGCTATTTTCACAACTTCATGAAATGTAATAATTATGTGTTGCTTTCCTAGATGTCATTGCAAAAATAGTTTCAGAGCAGAACAAGGCATGTTTCAGATTTATTTACTAACAGCATAACAATGTTGTAGTATACCTAACACATGATTGGATTGTGTCTACTGTATTTCCAGTTGAATTATATTCGTTATCTTGAGCAAAATCTTTTGTTTGCTTGAGCAGTTGTTACTTGGCTCCATGAGATGACTTTTGTCTTGTTGAATTGTTTCCAATTTCCAAGTTATCAGTATAAAAGCTCATGACTTTCAGTTTCATTCTTACTCATCAAGTAAGAAGAAACTGTCCCACCAGATTTCTTAAGGCCAACGTTGAAAGTTTGGTTGTTCATGATTCACAATTTCTTTTAAATAGTATAAAGTTAAAGTTGTGTACACTGTTAAATAACTTGTGAATCCCAAATATAAATAGATACAAATTCCGACAACAAAATAGAACCGAATTCTACTTTATACCATTTTGTTTTTATTTTATTAAATATTTTCCAAGGCCCATGACTTTGACCGAGTTTATCAGTTTGTAATAAACTCACTGAGCTAAGGCACCTGCAGCCTTGGCTGCTGTGCTCTCAGTGTGTTGTCTCCCTGTTGCTGCCTGTTGGCGTCAGCTGATAGAGGTGTTATTGTGCTTTGCCTGTTTTATCTTGTTATGCAACATGTTGATTATTCTCTCAGAACCAGCTAAATACATGTGTCTGGGGTAGAGATCTTCAGAATTGGTTTGGCATCGATTGTGTCAACTCGTGGCACACGACTTGTCTTGTGTTTGCCATCAAAGTTCCTGCTCTCCTTGTGTCTCTCTGAGTCCTGTCTCCATTGCTTCAGACGTTTCCATCACAATCTCATTATAGTGCATATAACGAAGCCACAATCTTGTAATAAATCTCCAGTGATGACTTATACAGAGGAATGACAACTGCTTGACAAAGTGCTCTGCAAATTTGAAAAGGTTTAATGTCATATCACAATAATAATATTATACAATAATAATATTATACAATGAGATGTGCCCAGTGCTACATTTACATTTTCTGTGAATATGCTTATGTGCATCTCACTATTAACATGACATACAGTGTTTTCATTGGTCTGATTACCTTAACCAGCGCAGGAGGAAAGTAAAGATGTCAGTTTGCGCATATAATTAGATGAATTAGACTGACCACAGTGGCACTATATATACCATAGGAATAGTAAGCTTGGGTACTTTTTTATTATTTGAAACTATCGTCACTTTATCACTCATTATTATGAACCCAACCATCTATAGGCCAAAACCCAAAGCCATCCTTTGATAATGTATAACTCTCTAATAGCAGTATCACAGGAACGTATTTTATTTTCCGATGAAGTGTTGTTTCCTGGCAATATTAGAGGGCATCTCAGTCAATGGTTGAGCATTCATTTTATACAGTTGAAAATCTTATGATGCCCGGTTTTTGGGGAGCATTAACTCATTTTGTTTAGTAAACCAATTTGAAAAATAGGATTGATTATACAAAAGGCCAACATTCCTTCAGTGTTTTTTCTGATATTAACTACTCAGCAGAGGCCACGGAAAAGTTGTGCTTCTTAACACCATGCCAGAGACGCAATTCAGATTGAGTTTCCATTTGCAGCAGGAATAGTTACAAAAATGTTTTCCCTATACTTC